TTGGACCAGATGGGGACAGGAGCTGGTGAGAGATCATTCATCTGTGGAACCTGCTGAAAGAAGAGGCAAAGCAGTGTGCCTGGAAATGAGGTATGAAAGGAAAATGAAAGTCAGAATGCTTCCAAGATATTTGGCCCTGAGCAAATGGAGGGATACTTGCTATTGACAGAGATGAGGAAAGCTTTGTGGGACAGGGTCATGGGATAAATGCAGGAGCTCAATTTGAGTTATTGGAAATGTCTGCAATTTGGAAACTTCCATTTGTATATGGCAATGTCAAGTAGATCATTGAGTATACATGTCTCAAATTGAATGAGATGACCAAGAAAGTGAAGGCAGAAAGAGAGAAGAACCAGAGTTAGAGCTCTGGGGTACTCCAACATTTAGTAAAAGAGTAAGAAAAAGAATCAGCAAAAAATATCTCAGCCAGTGGTATAGAACGAAATCTAGAGATTAGCTGTACTGGAGATCAATTTAAAAAAATTTATTAAAGATGATGAGTTATCAAGTGTTAAATAATGTTGGTAGTGGTTATCAGAGACTGGGAAAAGTAGCAGGGAAGTGGATAAAGAGAGGTTGTTTATTGGGTGAAAACATACAGTTAGACGGAATAAGTTCTAAGGTTTAATAGCACAGTATGATGTGCTACGACTTAATAGTAACTGTATATTTCAAAATACCTGGAAGAGATAATTCGGAATACTCCCAACACAGAGAATTGATCCATGTTTGAGGTGATGGATATCCCAATTACCCTGACTTGTGCATGAATCAAAATATCACATGTATACCATAAATATATATAATTATTTTGTATCAAAAAATAATGTAGATAAGATAACTAAAATGAGGACTAAGAACTGACCAACATGTATTACAATGTGGAATTTCCTTGGTGACTTTTGATAAGACCAGCTTCCCAGAGTGGTTAAGAGTAGTCTAGCTGCAGTGTGTTCAAGAGGGAATGAGTCAGCAAAATTCAGATTGTGGTAAACTCCACAGGCAAAGGAAATAAATTGCAAGGTAACTAACACAGACAGAAGATCCATATTAAACGAAATTAAAAGAGACAAATCAACCAAATATAACAAATAGACTTTATGTGGATTCACAAGCAACCACAAGATATACCCACAAAAATTTGAATTCAAATAAACAAACCATAAAAAATAAATTATAAAACTGTGGGAATTTTTACACTGGATACTTGTTAATATTAGAGTTATTTTATTTTTTAGGAGTGATTGTTTTATAATTACGTTTGTTGATTAAGAGTATTTCATGTCTTTTAGATATACTTACAAAAGGATTTACAGATAGAATTATACGATGTCTAGCATTTGCTTCAAAATAATACCATGGTGGGGTAAGGATTGGGTGGGAAGGAGAAATATTAATATAAGGATGAGATAAGACTGCAGTGTGTTGAGAATTGTTGAAGTTGAGTGAATGTACCTGGTGGTACTATTTTCTATCCTTTTTAAAAGTTTGAACTTTTTTATAATAAAAATTTAAAAATTGAGGTGTGAGGGATCAGAGAGCGAAAAAGAAAACAATAGAATCCTGAGTATAGGCAACTTTTTCAGAGTTTTGCTGTATAGTGGAGATTCATGTTCAGTAATCACAGGGCAAGCAGAGTCAAGAATTGTTTTTAAGAGTTAAGAATAATGATTTTGTTTGCTGCTGCTTGGCCTTCCAAGAAGAACTTAGTTCTGAAAAATAATTTAATTCTTTACTAATCAGAATTTAAGTTATAGTGGTGACCTTTCTTAATCATTCTAAGAAATCAATACACAAATATGCAATTTTGGTTGACCTCACAGATGCTTAAGAATCATGTACATTATAAACTTTCTAACAGTCTTATTCTTTTCCAATATAACTACAACCATTACTCACATCTACATATCCATCAAAAACATACATTCATAAATTCACTGTATAATAGCATTGAATGAAAATTCTGTTTCAAAGTTATAATCTACTAATATAATTCACTAGCAAAGTATTAGTGCATGATAGCTAGTAAATTCAGATTAAGTGTAAACAATAACCAAATTGAAAAAAGAAAAAAGGAAAATTGTCATACACTTTTTGTAGCCATTCATTAAAATCAAACTATCAACTCATTGGTTTATTAATAGAACTATTATTAAACATTTTCCTTAATCACTACTATACTGATATTTTTTCAACATTAGCAGCTAAGCTAACAAGTACTCAGTTGTTGCAACAACTACCCACAAATAAATAGTGAACAGGTGATTGTCTGTTTCTATGATTTCTATTTACAGTAGAGACTGTTTGATACTTGCTACTTTCCTTTTATAATAGAAATTTAATTATTGCCTTCTCCCTATTCTTATCCTTCTCCTCCATCCTATAATGCTCTATTTTCTTTCTCTTCATCTGTTTTTTTCATCTCTTTCTCAATTACCATTACCTCTAAGTTCCATTAAAAGTGATTTCAGCTTTCCATTCTAGGAAAAATATCTGGGCAGAGAAGGAATAAGCAGTGGGAGAGCTGTCTGCTCTTTTTTAAAATAAGTTTGAGCAAATATACTTTGCTTCTAAAACTAGATCAGCAACTTAAGAAGAAATTACAGAATTTCCTTCTTTTCTTAGACAAAGCCTCTTTCTATGACAAATCCTCAAGTAACAGGGATAGTTCCCCCACTCTTTCAGCGGTATCTGATATCTATTAGATAAGATAAGCTTCAGGAATGCAGTGAGCCAATTACTTGGGTTGCCCTCAACAAATCTACTTACTTACTACTGGATCAAACTAAAACATTCATTATTTATACCCCTATTTCTGTACAGTGGGACAAAATTACAGCATACAAAAGGTAAAATACAATGTCACGTGGATAACAAAAAACATCAGTTTGAAAATAATTTGGGCGTAATACCCCCTGTACAAAATTTAATCACCCAAGTGTGCTCAATGATCTGTCAGTGCACAAGGATGCAGTTAGAAACAGTAAAACAAAATCCTTTTTGGGATATCATCTGTTGAGCAAAGATTCCCAGGAGATAGTTTTCCCTTGCATTTGAGAAAATTAGCACAGAAACACAGAAACCTTCTATATTCAGAAACATAGAAACCTTCTCTAATCCAAGTCCAATTATTTATTCCTTTAACTCCCCCAAAAGCAATTTCATATTCTACCTGTGAGCATGCCAACAGCAAGAAAGCTGCTTTTAGTATTGTTGGCATAGTATTTTTTTTAATATCAAATTGGCAAATAACACATATTTCAGGTTTGCCCTAATGGAGAATGTCAGGCTCACCCAAATGTATTGGTGCTTTCTTTGTAGACTTTCTCAATCAGTCAGTCAAGCAAAGCTATTAACTTACTCTAATTCCCTACAGAAGTCTTTGGTTTTACCACCTATAAAATGCCTATACAGCCAATTTCCCATTAGCAAATGTAAAAGATTTTTTTATATTACTATTAAGTTGCTTTATCAAATTCAATTTTAGCTCCCTGAAGTCTCTTACTTGGTTCCACTGTCTGTATAACAGGTATTTGTATTTTTGTGGGTTTCTTTCTTTTCACATTGAGAAAGATAAACAACGCCAAAGAGTAATAGATAATTTGGTTGGTATAAAGAAAGTAGAATGAGGGACAAAATGGGCTAAATTCACTTTCAATTACAATGACTAGAATTTTATTTTCTTCACTACAGCCCCAATAGTAAAGTATAAGCTGAAAAGTTGCATCTGGTGCTCTTACATGAATGCAAAAACTCCAGTGATTTAAAAAATATAATTAAAATAATGTAAGCACAGAATCCTTAACTTTCTGGCATATCCACATTTGTCTGACTTATTTCCATACTGAGCGTAATATCCACATACCGTCTTCGCTCAGCTAATGCATAGTATTACCTGTCTACTCGTAAATCCCGTTTCTTATTCTCTATAGTTTCTCACACATTCTCACTTTACTTGTTTTCCTTAAACAATTAGCTTATTTCTTTTATTTTTGCTTACGGGGTCATTTGTTTAATAAACATCTTCTTTTCCGATGTTTATTAAAAATGCATCTGCCTTTTTTACTCACATTTTAAACCAACTTGTCTCCTCCTTCTCTTTGTCTTGATTGTTTTCTCTACACCTCATATTTCTCCTCTGCTGCACCTGGGTCTCATTCTGGTTGAGTGAAGAAAGGCCTGACTGAAGGCACTTTCCTGCCTCGCTTTGTAGACTTGGAGGAAAACAGAATGAAGTTTACACATGAGTACAAACCCATGAATGAGGGGAAATCACAGGGAGCTTGTGTCAAATTCTCCAGCAGAAGAGTATGTGCACAGTTAGAATTGAAAAGCAATGAAATAAACAACGTAAGACACAGGGGAGAGGTACCAACCAGTGTAAGAGCCAGAGAAGCAAAGTGGGAGCCAGGTGAGGAAGTAGCTAGAGGAAGTTTCTGGCCGACATTCATTAATTATAATTCTATCAAATAGCCTGTCATGTTTGGTTTACAATGAGTCTTCAGCCAAGCTCAGAAAGACAATTTAAAAATGTTCTTTAATTACTATATAGATTAAGATATAAAATTCTTTCATCTTTATAATTTAAGATCCTAAAATGTAAAACATGTCAAGACTGATCATTATTATTCATGTATTAGAAGTTAAATAGCAGATGCCTATAAAACACCACATATGTTCTACGGAATAAGAATTTAAAAGAATGAAAAAAAGAGTGTGAGAAGGAAGAAAATAAGCTAGACTTCAAGACAAATATGGTTATTATGAATAAGCATTGGCTGGATTCTCAGCTTTCTAGTGGCTAAGAATAAAGAAAACCGTGGTGTGTAATAAATTTTTAGTATCTGCTATGAGGAAGCAAATCAATTTTTCAAGAGAAATGAACATTAAACTTTTGCCCATACTAATCTTACAACACAGGTTTTTACATTTTTTTAACATGATTCCTTTTAGAATATCATAAAACCTGTAATACCCGTCCTAGAAAATCACAGAAGGCTGACACTGACCTTCAGCGCCTCGGCTCCAATGCCATGGCGCCCTCTAGGAAGCTCTTCGTGGGTAGCAGGGTGGAGAACTGGAAGATGAACAGGCAGAAGAGTCTGGGGGAGCTCATCCACACTCTGAACGCGGCCAAGGTGTCCACTGACACCGAGTCGTTTGGGCTCCCCCTACTGCCTATATCGACTTTGCCCGGCAGAAGCTACATCCCAAGATTGCTGTGGCTGTGTGGAACTGCTACAAAGTGACTAACGGGGCCTTTACTGGGAGATCAGCCCTGGCATGATCAAAAACTGCAGAGCCACGTGGGTGGTCCTGGGGCACTCGGAGAGAAGGCATGTCTTTGGGTAGTCAGATGAGCTGATTGGGCAGAAAGTGGTCCATCCTCTGGCAGAGGGACTCAGAGTAATTGCCTGCATTGGGGAGAAGTTAGATGAAAGGGAAGCTGGCATCACTAAGAAGGTTGCTTTTGAGCAGACAAAGGTCATCGCAGATCACATGAAGGACTGGAACTAGGTCGTCCTGGCCTGTGAGCCTGTGTGGGCCATTGGTACCGGCAAGACTGCAACACCCCAACAGGCCCAGGAAGTACAGGAGAAGCTCAAGGATGGCTTAAGTCCAAAGTCTCTGATGCAGTAGCTGCGAGCACCTGTATCATTTATGGAGGCTGTATGACTGGGGCAATCGGCAAGGAGCTGGCCAGCCAGCCTGATGTGGATGGCTTCCTCGTGGGTGGTGCTTCCCTCAAGCCCAAATTCGTGAACATCATCAATGCCAAACAATGAGCCCCATCCATCTTTCTTACCCTTCCTGCCAAACCAAGGGACTAAGCAGCCCAGAAGCACAGTAACTGCTCGTCCCCTGCACATGCTTCTGATGGTGTCATCTGCCCCCTCTTGTGGCCTCATCCAAACTGAACCTTTACTGTTTATATCTTCACCCTGTAATGGTTGGGACCAGGCCAATCCCTTCTCCACTTACTATAATGGTTGAAACTAAACGTTACCAAGGTGGCATCTCCTTGGCTGAGAGGTGTAAGGGATGGAATCTGCTCCTGGGTCCCCTAGACCCTCTTGAGGGCAGGAGAGAAAATATCCTCTCCCTTCTTATACCATGAGGCCAAGCACCTCCCCTGAGAAGCCAGGAATACTGCCCTCTCCCACGGTCCCCATGCCTGTGTGTGCTGTGTATATGAACCACCCACATGTAAAGGAATAAACACCTGGCACTGAAAAAAAAAAAAAAGAAAGAAAGAAAGAAAAGAAAATCACAGAAATTTTATAGACATCTTCAGAGATTCATGAACTGTCTCAAGCCTGTCCTTGGAACCTCTAGGAGTCCATGATCTACATATTCAGGATTTTTGTCATTAGAATGGACATGGGGGAAGTCTTAAAAGTCATAGTGAATAATGACAACAGAAACTGCAAAATCTGTTTTCATGTCTTTCTTATTTATGTTAAGAGCATAATATTAAGGGATAATTTAGTAAAAATAATTGTATAAGGAAGGTAAAGTCATGAAGTACATATGTGCAGTTACAATGTCTATATTTGACCTTATGGCCAGCATACTAGCTACCCTTTATTTTTCATGGCATAAATGGCTTCTAATAATTTCTTTAAATGTCCTACAGAAGTATAGCATCTATAATACTCAAGTAAATCTAAAAGCAATCTGTTTATCATTTTCTTAGTATATTTTATAGTTTATTAACATACATTGCTAAATAATATATTATTTGGTTTTCCTTATTTGTGGACTTTATAAAAATATAATCATGTTACATGTAGTCTCTTGAAACTTTTTTCAGTCAACATTATGCTTCCAAATTGCATCCATGTTGTTACAGATCACTCAATTCATTATTTTAATCTTGTATAATATTTTATTCAATAAATAAGCCATAAATTATCCTTCATCCATTAATAGACATTTGAATATATTCTATCTAGCCTTTTGCTATTAGAAATTTAGGTTGCTATCAACATCTTCTGGGAAAAAGGTTTTACTCTGACAATGGAAACAGGGGAAGAGATCACAGGCCAATTACTAGTAATAGTCTAAGTCTTGGGCTAGCTGGTTATAAGGACATTCATTAATTATTATGCTTTAGAACCTATCTGTAAGTTACATATATTATTTCGTATTTATAAAATATGTTTTTAAGTTAAAATTGATAACTAAAATATTTTATAATACTAAAAAAATTGGATTATGGAGATTCATGCTTTAAAAAATAGCCGAAATTTCTTCAAACACCAAACTTTTCAAAAGTGGAAAATCATCTACTAGAAGTCCTCGGTCTCCACTAATTATAATGTAACAATTTTGTTTTCTATCATTTTGCCAGGACTTGCTAAATCAATAGCATGACTTTCCATTTTCCTAAACTACCACTTCGCTGAGTTACTTTTGATAAGAGATAGCACAGAGTTTAAAGATATCCAGCATCAAAACCCCCAGTACCTATTTGTTTTGCTATAAACTATTGCATAACACAAATACGAGTTATTGAGTTGCTTTTTTATTGTTTTTATCTGAAATGTCACTGTATTCTCTGGATTATAACAGCCTAAGGCTAAACAGAGGAATACTCTACAACCACTGTATACCAGAGAAGAAAACCAGGGCTTCCTAATTCATTCCCCATCTGTCTTCTATGGAAGTGCAAAGAGGATCATGTGTTGCCGTTGTGTATAAAAGATTCCTTGAAGCATCTTGGATCAAGTAGCATGCAAGATGGCCATATATGAACAGCTCCGGTCTGCAGCTCCCAGCAAGATCAACGCAGAAGGTGGGTGATGTCTGCATTTCCAACTGAGGTACCCAGCCGGCTCATTTCACTGGGACTGGTAGACAGTGGGTGAAGCCCACAGAGGGTGATCAGAAGCAGGGTGAGGCACTGCCTCACCTGGGAAGGGCAAAGGGATGGGGAATTCCCTCCCCTAGCCAGCCAAGGGAAGCCATGAGAAACTGTCCCATGAGGGACAGTGCACTCCAGCCCAAATACTACCCTTTTCCCAGTCTTCGAAACCTGCAGACCAGGAGATTCCCTTGAGTGCCTACGCCACCAGGGCCCTGGGTTTCAATCACAAAACTGGGTGGCCATTTTGGCAGACACCCAGCTAGCTGCAGGAATTTTTTTCATACCCCAGTGGCACCTGGCATGACACTGAGACAGAAATGTTCACTCCCCTGGAAAGGGGGCTGAAGCCAGGGAGTCAAGTGGTCTAGCTAAGTGGATCCCACACCCACAGAGCCTAGCAAGCTAAGATCCACTGGCTTGAAAGTTTTGCTGCCAGGACAGCAGTCTGAAGTCAACCTGGAACACTTGAGCTTGCTGGGGGGAGGAGCACCCACCATTACTGAAGCTTGAGTAGGCAGCTTTCCTCTCACAGTGTAAACAAAGCCACTGAGAAGTTCAAGCTGGATGGAGCTTACCAAAGCTCTGCAAAGCCACCATAGCCAGACTGCATCTCTAGATTCCTCCTCTCTGGGCAGGGCATCTCTGAAAGAAAGGCAGCAACTCTAGTCAGGGGCTTACAGATAAAAATTTCATTCCCTGGGACAGAGCACCTGGGGGAAGGTGCAGCTGTGGGCACAGCTTCAGCAGACTTAAACGTTCCTGCCTGCTGGCTCTGAAGAGAGCAGTAGATCTCCCAGCACAGCACTCAAGCTCTGCTAAGGGACAGACTGCCTCAAGTGGGTCCCTGACCCTGTGCCTCCTGACTGGGAGACACCTCCCAGCAGGGGACAACAAACACCTCATACAGGGGAGCTCTGGCTGGCAACTGGTGGGTGCCCCCCTGGGACAAAGCTTCCAGAGGAAGGAACAGGCAGCAATCTTTGCTGAGCTACAGCCTCCACTGGTGATACCCAGGCAAACAGGGTCTAGAATGGTCCTCCAGCAAACTCCAGCAGACCTGCAGCAGAGGGGCCAGACTGTTAGAAGGAAAACTAGCAAACAGAAAGAAATAGCGTCAACATCAACCAAAAGGATATCCACACAGAAACCCCATCCAAAGGTCACCAACATCAAAGACCAAAGGTAGATAAATCCATGAAAATGAGAAAGAAACAGTGCAGAAAGGCTGAAAATTCCAAAAACCAGGACATCTCTTCTCCTCCAAAAGATCACAACTGGAATGAATTTGACGAATTGACAGAAGTAGCTTCAGAAGGTGGGTAATAACATACTCCTTTGAGCTAAAGGAGCATGTTCTTACCCAATGCAAGGAATTTAAGAACCTTGAAAAAAGGTTAGACGAATTGCTAACTAGAATAACCAGTTTAGAGAAGAAGATAATGACTTGATGGAGCTGAAAAACACAGCACAAGAGCTTCATGAACTTACACACCACTCCTATTCAAGATAGTATTGGAAGTTCTGGCCAGGGCAATCAGTCAAGAGGAAGAAATAAGGAGTATTCAAATAGGAAGAGAGGAAGTCAAATCATCTTTGTTTGCAGATGGCATGATTGTATAGTTAGAAAACCTTATCGTCTTAGCCAAAAATCTCCTTAAGCTGATAAGCAACATCAGGAAATATCTCAGGATACAAAATCAATGTGCAAACATTACAAGCATGGGAGGGAGTGTCAAGATGGCCATGAGAAGGCAACACCAGAATGCAGCTCCCAATGAATAAGACATAGAGGGCTAGAGGACTTCATGATTCCAAACGAGGTGCTGAGTTCATTTCAGTGGGACTGATAGGGCAGTCTCCTTCTCCACTTCTCTTGGAGTCCTGTGACTACCATAAAAATCCCAAGCTAACCTCCAGGAGGATGAGGGACTATGTAAGAGAAGCCCTACTGGTCCCAGCTGACTGACCAAGCCCAGCTAAGATAAGTAGAGCCTATCCCAAAGTGCTAACCTTTAGACTCATGAGCTAATTAAATAGTTGTGATAAAGCAAAGCCTAACTAATACACGGAAGAAAAAGCGCCACTGAAGGAAACAATGACAAAAAATTCATGAAAGAAGCAAAACAAAGAGCATCTTTGTAGGAGAAAAGAATAAATAAAAGGTTCTTCTTCAAAGCTTTCCTCCTAGTTCATTATGAATAAGTAACAGCTTCTTCAAAGGTTAATTTACTTTAAAGGTTTTGCTAATAATCTTAAAGTTGCTTAGTCATAATAAGGAAATAAGTGCATCCCGTGTTCTTAGTTCTTACACTTTAACCTAGATATTTGCCCTGACATGCCTGGACAAGCCCAGGCAAGTCTTAGGTCATAGCTTATTCCCCTTCCTTATTTGGAAATGTTATCTATCGCTTCTCTAAGCATTCTTCAAGTTACTTCCTCTTTTCCTTTGTTCTCCTCTGCCTTTACCTCTTTAGAAAATTTCCAAGTTTTTAGCCCATCAGGTCAAGCATTCTTGTGATGGATTATGTTTATAAACTTGCGTATGTTGAACCAGGCTTGCATCTGCAAGATGAAGCCTATTTGATCATGATGAATAAGCATTTTGAATTGCTGTTACATTCTGTTTGCCAGTATTTTATTGAAGTGCATTCTGTTTGCCAGTATTTTATTGAAGATTTTTGCGTCGATGTTCATCATGGATATTTGCCTCAGGTTTTCTTTTTTTGTTGTGTCTCTGCCCAGTTTTGGTATTAGGATTATGTTGGTCCCATAAAATGAGTTAGGGAGGATTTCCTCTTTTTGTATTGTTTGGAATAGTTTCAGACGGAATGGTACCAGCTCCTCTTTGCACATCTGGTAGAATTCGGCTGTAAACCCATCTGGACCTGGGCTTTTGTTAGTTGGTAGGCTATTAATTGCTGCCTCAACTTCAGACCTTGTAATTGGTCTATTCAGGGTTTCAACTTCTTCCTGGTTTAGTCTTAGAAGTGTGCAAGTGTCCAGGAATTTATCCATTTCTTCCAGATTTACTGGTTTTTCTGCATAGAGTTGTTTGTAGTACTCTCTGATGGTAGTTTATATTTCTGTGGCATCAGTGTGATGTCCCCTTTATCGTTTTTTATTGCATCTATTCGATTCTTCTCTCTTTTCTTTTTTATTAGTCTGGCCAGTGGTCTATTTTGTTGATCTTTTCAAAAAACCAGCTCCTGGATTTGTTGATTGTTTGAAGGCTTTTTGTGTCTCTATCTCCTTCAGTTCTGCTCTGATCTTAGTTATTTCTTGTCTTCTGCTAGCTTTTGAGTTTTTTTGATCTTGTTCCTCTAGCTCTTTCAATTTTGATGATAGGATGTCGATTTTAGAC